GTGCCCTGGCCAGAATCGAACCGTGACCTCCTGGTTCACAGGTCGGCTCACCCACTGAGCCACACCAGCGGGGGTAGGAACCTTACAGCTTTTATATAATGAACATGAAATGCTGTTATAATGGGGAAATTACCTTTAAAAATATCCGTGGCTTAGTGAGTATCGTTTCCTTTACTTCTACCAGATTTGTATTTTAATAGGAAATGCTTTGTGTTAAAGCAGCGCTTCTCAACCTGTGGGTCGCGACCCCTTTGGGGGTCGAACGACCCTTTCACAGGGGTCACCTAAGACCATCGGAAAACACATATATAATCACATGTTTTGTGATTAATCACTATGCTTTAATTATGTTCTATTTGTCACAATGAAATCGGGGGTCACCACAACATGAGGAACTGTATTCAAGGGTCTCGGCATTAGGAAGGTTGAGAACCACTGTGTTAAAGGGGAAGAAAATGTTGACTCCATCTCCGGACCGACGTCGGAGCTCCGCTGCTGGGGTTTAAGTGGGAATCTGCTTTTGTTTTAGTTGTTTCCCTGTCCGTCGGTGCACTGCCTCCTGCAGTTTCCGTGTTGGTGGGCGAGGGCTCGGGGCTGGGCCACGCCGTGTGGCGGGTTAGAGGGGTCGTGCGGGCTGATTGGCATGGCCTTCGCCGGGAGAAGAACGGTCACCTCCTCTGCCCCGTGCGTACTGTAGTGGAGGAAACCCGGGATGCTGTCAGCTCGCGCGGTCACTTCTGTAGACTGTTCCTGACAACTGAGAGTTACTGGTGTGGAAATGACATACATCAGGGGATCTAGAGATTCAGCTTGAATCAGTGTTTATCGGGCACCGATTTATCTCGGAAGAAGTGGGAGGAGTTCTGGGGCCTGGAAATACTTCTTGGGAAGGGCTGTGGTTCAGGGGCCGTGGTGCTCCCCACATCACTAGCGGCTCTGAGCATCCCGGGGTCCCTTTCAGAAGTCCACTGCAATGGGGTGAGTCAAGCTGCAGCAGTAAGTAAGAGCCAATGACTTTTTTTTTTTTTTAATGATAGGAGACACGCAGCGGCCTTTCCTTCTCTCCCGTGTCTGCCCCAGCGACTGGGCTCTCCACGCGCCGGGTCCCTCGCCATCCTCCTCCCACTGACCCTGGAGTTCTGAGAGCCTGCTGCTGCCAGCCCCGGCTTCCTGGGAGGGTGTGGGGATGCTGGGCGATCGATATGGCCAGATTTTAAATCTTTCATTTCTTTGATTTTCATAAAGGATGCCAATGGGCCCGGGCCATTTCCCCGACTTGATTCATGCCTAATGGACGCGGAGAGTTATTAGAAAACAAATGCTTTGGATATTTTTTTTAATGATTTGGATCTTTTTAAAAATATATTTTTTTATTGATTCCAGAGAGGAAAGGAGAGGGAGAGAGAGAAAGAAACATCAATGATGAGAGGGGAATCATTGATCGGCTGCCTCCTGTTCACCCCCAACTGGGATTGAGCCTGCAACCCGGGCATGTGCCCTGACCAGGATTTGAACCAGTGGCCTCTTGGTTCCTAGGTCGCTGTGCAACCACTGAGCCACACCGGCTGGGCCCAATGAATTTTTAACTGAATGGCCGACCGGGTAGGTTCGTGGACAGGTGATGGATGAATACAGTCACGGTGAATTAATGCGCGCTCGCATGAGTCCCAGAATAGCTGTCCCTGCGGCTGCGGCAGAAGCCGAGGCCCGCTGCTCAGACCGGCCCCTCTCCCTGAGCTCGGATTGAAGTCGGGACGCAGGCGCGCGGCCTGCCTGGTCCCAGCACTGCTGTCATTATGGAACTTTTCAGGAACAGCCAGTCCTGGTGACCCCAGCAGCATCCTTCATCCCCGAGCGCTGCCGCGTCTGCGGTCCGCTCCCCGCCCCCCCGAAACGAGGGTACTGGAAGTCAGCTTGTTTTGGGCCTCACCCCAGTAGCCCTGGCCTCCATCAATGATTCATGCCCGGAAAGCATTTAAGTGCATTTGTTTTCTAATAACTCTCTCTCCGCGTCCATTAGGCATGAATCAAGTCGGGGAAATGGCCCGGGCCCATTGGCATCCCTTTATGAAAATCAAAGAAATGAAAGATTTAAAATCTGGCCGTATCGATCGCCCAGCGTCCCCACACCCTCCCAGGAAGCCGGGGCTGGCAGCAGGAGGCTCTCAGAACTCCAGGGTCAGTGGGAGGAGGATGGAGAGGGACCCGGCGCGTGGAGAGCCCAGTCGCTGGGGCAGACACGGGAGAGAAGGAAAGGCCGCTGCGTGTCCCCCTCATTGGCTGCTCTGAGTGGACCCTCGGGCACCACCCATTCAGTGGGCTCTGCGGAGTGCCGCCTCCAAGCTCCAGTCCCTGGCATGCATGCACCCCAGGGGTGGGTGCCATGTGCCTGCCCATGGGTCAGAGGTCAGCATCTGCCCAGCAGGGCCTGTGGGTACCCTGACCACTCTGAACTCTCCCACCACCTCTAGGGGGCGGACTGTTGTCAGGGGCTCCTGCGACAGAGGAGGGGCTGTCAGGGGCCTGCCTGAGGCCAGAACTCCTACAGTACATGCCCGAGCGGGTCTCAGGCCCCTTCCCCACCTGATAGACCTATGGGGACAGCGACCTCCATGGGTTTCCAGCCTTCACGGGTGTGTCGGAGCGGAGGGCCACTGCCCTGCATGACAGTAATGGTGACGAAGATCATAGCGATGATTTTGATTCACGTCCACCCTGTCTCCTCCCGCACGTGAAGGCCTCGCTCCCTGGATGCGCTCCTGGCAGCGGACATGTGGGCGCTTCCCCCTGGAAGGTGAATTGTCCTCGCAGCATCCCAGGTTCCGGTTCTGTGCTGGTGGGTTTGTGTCAGGACTTGAGAAAAGTTTTGGGAAACTTCCACGCTTGAACGTAACTGAAACATGTCTTCCCACCGAGCGTCTTATGAAATAGTTCACGCGCTCTTGTCTGGTGGGAATGCAGCAGCGGGGGCTCCCCGAGATTGCAGACGCGCACACTGAGGCAGCTCTCTGCACCCCGGGACCCCCGGACTGTGGGGGAGCTGGCCTGGGGTTGGGAGAGGGGGCCGTCTCCCCTGAAGGAGGGCGTGATGGGGGAGCAGGACAGTCGCTCGGGAACAGTGAGAATTGGGCCATGAGTTGGTAAACCAAGGCCAAGCTCCGTGAAGCCTGGCTGCCTCGCGTCCGTGTCACCAACAGCGTCATGGTGGCCGAGTGATGAGCTTGGGTCCCAGACGTCCACTCACCATTTGACCTTGGCATGTGACCTTGTCTGAACCTCGGTTTCCCCGTCTACGAAACGGGTAACCATCCCCCAACCACCGTGGGGTCGGGCAGGTCGTGAGGTCACGTGTGTAAATCACTCCGTGTCTGATCCGGCCACATGGTGACCATTCGGATCATGTGGTGTCTAGCGCTTTCCATCCTGTAGATGCGGGAGCCGCCCCGGCCTCAGAGCCCCCTGTCCAGCCCCCCCCCGCCCCGCTTCCTCCCCGCGGGGAAAGGGTGCGGGCTGTCCCTGTGTCCGTCCGTTTTCCTCCGAGGTCTCCCCCATGAGGCAGAAGAGCCCTTTAGAATCGGTTTTCTCTAGACGCTGCTCAGAACCAAGTCCTCCATAGAAACGCAGACGCCTCCGTTCTCGTCCTGAAATTAGAGCGAGATGCAGGGTGGTTGCTCGAGGACAGAATGAAGAAGCCGAGTGTAATTTAAGGCTCGTGCGGAGTGGGGCTGCTTTAATGGCATCTTGTACTGTCCGGGGCGTCGGACAGACGCTGCTCCATAAGACGTGGAATCAGCTAATGGCATACGGGCTCCGGCCAGGCCAGCGGAGGGCGATTTTTAACTGGGGACGACTCAGTTAGAGCTGGTCCCTGAGACGGTGAGGGGTGAGGACTGAGGACACGTCCTCCTATTTGTTTGGGGCCGTGGTCATTCTGCCTTCCTTCCAGAACGCCAACACCAAAACGCACCTGGCTGCCAGGGCTAAGGGCTAAGCGGCCTGCCTTTGTGGGGAAGGAAACGCCAAACCTCCAGAGAGGCTGGGCGGGCTTCTGAGGGGCCCAGCGGTGGGGCTGGTCCCAGGGCAAGCTCTCCCGGGGCTGAGCACACGCTCAGCTTACTTCCTACCTCAGACTCCGAGGAGAGCGTGTGCCCAGAGCTGGGGAGACCCCCTGGTCCTCCAGATAACCATGTGCTTGGAGCGTGACAGCGGGTGGGGGTGAACGGTGGAGGGTGCGCAGTGCACCCTAGTCCAAGGGCGTGGGGAGGTAGAGTCCCCAGGGTCACCCCGTGACCTCACCCAGAGCCGGTGTGAGCTCAGGGAGGTCTTGCCAGGAGGAGCTGAGAGCTGGGCGTGAGGTGAGAGCTGGGAGGTGAGGGTGTACGGAGAGTGCTAGTCAGGCAGAGATGGCAGCTGGGGGGGCCCCAGAGATGTGGGCACGGCTGTGAGTGCCCCACTGGCGAGGGAGCTGGCGGGGCTGAGGGCAGGGAGCCCAGCGGCCAGGCCACTGCTCGGTGGTGGAGCTGTGGACCCGCCACGTGGCTCAGCCTCTTGGGGCCTCCATCCCCTCCCAGGTGACAGCCGTGCCCACCGCTCAGGGTGTCGGGGCAGCTCAAGGGGCTCTGGTTCTGAGAGGCTGCGGCTGTGCCCACGCTAAGACGCTAAACAAGGACAAGTTAGCTGACGCACAAGGCATTTCATCACCAGAGTCTGTTTTTTAAGAGGCTTTTTTCTCTTTTTTTCTCCCCTTGACTATAACAGCACACAGCGCCCAGCGGGTGTGGCTCAGTGGCTACGCATGGGCCCAGGAACCAGGAGTCCCTGGTTCGATTCCTGGTCCGGGTACCTGCCGGGGTGCGGGCTCACTCCCCGGAGGGGGTGCATCGATATGGGTCTCTCCCCGGTTCCTCTCCCCTCCTTCCTAAGAATCCCTAAAAACGCGCCTTAGAACAGAAAAGCACGTACACTGCCCCTGACGTCTCCACTGGCTTGTCTCTAGACGCTCCGGAGGCCCGGCCCTGCTCGCCTTCTGGGAGGACCCCGCGGGCCGGCTGTTCCGGGAGGCGCCTCCGCCATGGACCTCGTGGGGCTGCTGAAGTCGCAGTTCCTGTGCCACCTGGTCTTCTGCTACGTGTTCATCGCCTCGGGGCTCATCGTCAACACCCTGCAGCTCTGCACGCTCGTGCTCTGGCCCATCGACAAGCAGCTCTTCCGCCGGCTCAACTGCCGGCTGTCCTACTGCGTCTCCAGCCGTAAGCGCTCGCTCCTCTCCCTGCCTCTCTCCTCTCCCGTCCTCTCTCTGCCTCTCTCTGCGGCCGGCTGGGCGAATTGGGCTCTTACAGGCTCCCCGAGCTCGCACTGCGCACTACGCTACGTATATATTTGTTTCTGTTTGTTTGGATGTGGCTTGAAGTTGTCTATTTTGTCCTCGCTCTTAACATATTAGTTTTGAATGAGCGACGCCAATAGCACACCATGCAGCAGGCGCAGAGGTACCCTACGAAGAGTCAAGGTGCGTTCTGTGTTTCTTCAGATTTCCTCCTCAGGAGGCATCGGTGTTGATGATTCCTTAGTTGTCCTCACAGAAATGCATGTATGTGGAAACCCATGGGTCTTGTATGTGTATGTGGGTGCAGGCGAGTGTCTGCTGTGTGTAGATAGATGATGCAAACACATATTTGAAAAGCTAAATGGCAGTTTAATATATTGTTCTCTTTCTCCTTTTCTTTAATTTTATATTTTGAAACTAGAGGCCCGGTGCACGAAATTCATGCACAGATAGGGTGCCTAGGCCTGGCCAGCGAACAGGGCCGATCAGGGCCTTCCAGCTGCTGGCTGGGGCCTCCCTTCCCCAGCTGCCAGCCAGCA